AGAATAGAATAGAATAGAATAGAATAGAATAGAATAGAATAGAATAGGAAAGAGAATGGAACGGAACGGAACAGAACAGAATAGAAAATATGGAATGGAATGAATTGGAATGGAATGGAATAGAAATAGGAATAGAATTGAATAGGAATAATAGAAATAGAATAAAATAGGAAAATGGAATGGAATGAATTGAAATGGAATAGAAGGGAAGGGAAGGGAATCAAATGGAATGGAAGGGAAGAGAAGGGAATAGGGATGGATAGGACAGGATAGGATAAGATAAGATAGGACTTAACTGGAAATTATGGGTGGTCCTTCAGTGGAATTTTTTAAGAAATTGGATAATCATTTGTCTGAAATGGTAAAAAGGATTTCCTGCTTGAGCAAGGGTTGGACTAGAAGACCTCCAAGGTCCCTTCCCACTCTGTTACTCTGTATCCTGCATTATTCTAATTCCTGGCTTGGCTGCCACAAACATTTTTGGGGTCTGCCTGATATCATGGCTCTCCTGTTTCATTTTCCCGAGGGGTGGGCACTCTCGTGGTGGTTTAGCGCAGTGACGCCTGTCTTCCGTTCTCAGGAGTGGTACGAAGAACATTCCAGAAGAGAGGAACGAGAGCTTCCTTGGCATGAAGACGAGGAGCTGCTCCACCAGGCCTTCCACCCTCCTGCCCTCCGCCAGCGTTCGCAAACCATCATCTAAACTTTGGCTTATCAAGAAAGCCAGTTCTCCTATGCATTCAACCTGGGCTTGGCGGCACGGCGATCTCTACGGCTTCCCCTCAACCAGATTTTCCTTTAACGGTCCCGAGATCTTTGAGATCTCCAGCCAGGAGGCTGAGGTCTTGCGAGAGAGAAGATGGCCATTTTTATTATTACTTTTTTTTTTTAATAGTTGTTTCCTTTTGTTTTTAGGCATCGAGCGTCCGGTGTGTCTGGAAGGACTGTTAAACCTTGCAGTTATGGCAATGGGAGATTCATGCAAAGTTTTTCCTGGCCCTTTTTTTTGTTTTTTTGTTTTTGGTAGATAACCTGTCCATTTTGTCCTTGTTGGCTACTGTGGCAAAAGGCTGGGATGGGAGTTGGCATAGACGGCTGAAAACCGGCCCCGTTTGCCAATGATGGCCAAGCAGGCGAAAATACAAGGTGCCCATCCTGGCATGGCCATCATGCCACCTTCCACCAGCAGTCGAGATTGGCTAGAAATGGCAAAAAGGCAGGTGAGGCCGCCAAGCGTCCACTCCATCGCTCGCTCTCTTGTCTCCATGATGCACAAAATGCAGTGAAGTAATGCAACTTTGACACCACTCCTTTATTTTTCCCCACCCTTCGTTGTTCAGCATCTATAAGGACTGCTAGCACTCCAATGATCCACTTGGCAGTTTTTACCCAAATGTAGCAAAGGTGCCCAGGCAGGCAGAACCCAGGACCAACTGAACAGAAATGAGTTTTTGGTACAGGGAGATCCTGGACAGGTTTAAGACTCCATTCTGCTCACAAACGTCATCCCGGCATTGTGAATGTTTGCAGTGGCATCTACCCGAAGCTATGAACAGCGACGACAGGCCAGTAGGTGTTGAATTAAATCCTGAACCGTATCCTGCCAGTTGTCATTAACTCCTAAAACACTGCCAGTAGGCATTGCATTAAGGCCTGAAGCCCCCATGCCACTAGGCATGATAGAAAAGCAATAATTCTCTTCACAGAAAAGACAAAAGTGATCGCGGGATCAGAGTGTCTTATCAGGTTTTATTGTGGGTTCGCTTCTGTAGAAATTCCTTCGTCGGTTACCCAGCTTGGGATCTCTTCGGAAGCTGTCCAATGAGAGAAACCAACAAGTAGATTGTGCCTTTGTCGTGCCTTTCTTGCTTTGGCAACACACAATAGGCAAAGAAGCATTAAGGTTTGTCTCCCTGTGTTAATCTCGATTGCTAATTAGCAAACGGTAAACGGAATTTGCTTCCCCCAAAAAAAATTATAAGCAAAAAAGACAGGGGTCTCCCTCTCCCCCCCCCCTTTTTTTGTTCTTGTCCCTTTTGTAATTTTAGGATGGCAAACCTTGAATAATTAGGAATTTGTTTTCTCACGTCTGCTCGCTCTCTGGCATAGTTCTTCATTTTTTAAAAACAACAGGCTTATTTCCACGCTCAATAAATCAACGGAGAAAGGTTGGCTTTGAGCGAACTAAATTATTTTCCAGTTGTTGGAGAGGAGTTTATTTTGCTCCGAAGATGGGTTTGAGATAAACAGTCACATAAATGACATGCTCTTTTCCTAAACAGCTCAGTTCTGTGACGACATCTTCCAATGCCCTTCAAATCTTAAAAAAAAACAAAAAAACAAACCTGAGCTACGTTAATGGCTGTGGAAGATTGCCGTTGTAGTCTTAACACTATCAGAGGACACCCCGTGGAGAAAATAAGAGTTCCTGCACCCACGATCCCTGTTTTCTTCCTAAAAAGAATGCAAATGTTTTATAAGGTAGTAGATATTCACAATTCAGGTGACTTCCGTCTGTTGGACTTCAACTCCCAGAATTCCTGGGCTGTGGGGCGACTCTGGGAGTTGAAGTCCACCCCATCTGGAGTTCCTCCAGGAGAGAAAAGGGGCATCTTAAAAAAACTACTTTTGGTTCAAGAGGGCATTATGCTGTCAGTCCGGGGAAGGCATTCCTTCTTGCTGTATCAGTCAAGTTTGTTAATTCTTTTTAAAAAAGGGATAGGTTGAAGCAAAAAAAACCAACAACCCACAGATAGACAACATTCATTAGGGGATTTGCAAAGTTTTGGCTTCCAAGCAAAAATGGAATTTCAGAATGGGTAGGGATCTCTAAATCTCCCCTATTTGTGTGAGACAAGGTGTTTTTTCCAGGGCTCTTTCCCTGGGAAGTAAAATTTTAAAACAGGGAAGTGCTTGACTGCGTGTGCCTACAAAAAGCACTTTATGTACCCCAACTGGAAGACACATTTTCCTGGGATTGTGTGGTGACAATGCACAACCAAGGAAGGGCCAGCTTCTGGGATGGAGCTGCTAGAGTTTATAGGACGCACAACAACTCCAAACCAGAGTTTGGATTTGAAGCAACAGGTAGCTTTGTACATTTCTGTTTGTTTTTAAACTGGAGTTTGGGTGATCCTTAATCTGGTTTACTGACCGTTTTGCTGGCGTCACTAAATGGAAATGAAGGCTGACCACCTTTATAATTTGGAGTTTTCTTGCTTGTCAGTCAACGGCCCAGATTTTGTACATGCATGGCCCAGATGTTGTACATTTTACATGCTTATGCACACTTAGGCTTGTTAACGAGAATCTGCTTGGTACCATCTCTAGCCCATCATTCGCACCATTTTTTGGCTAAGGTCCATGATGTCAAAATCTAGAGCAAAGTTTCTCAATCTTGAATGCTGGAAATTGAAGTCCACACATTTTCAAATTTGATAAGCTTTGAGAAACACTGATTGACACCAATAGCCTTTCCAGTGAGCATCAAGCAAGATTGAACGCTGCCAAGCTTAATTTTAGTATTTCAAACACTCAAAATTGGAAGAAAGCGTATTCCAGGTTTTGAGGCGCTACACTTGGGTCACAAATAAGCACTAAATTCCATTTTTTTCCCCCTACCATCAGCCTGGATAGTAAATGACAAAGGATATAATTTCAGATTTCCTTCCTCTGTGGGGCATAAGAGATACTGGAAACCCCATACTGAGTAAAATGGGGTCATATTTTTTTTCAAGTTTTTGTTATTTTTATTCTTGTTTAGGATATAAGCTAGAAACAACTCCAGAAAGTTGGGGTTTTTTTGGTTTTTTTTTTGGAGCCTCTTGGAAGGAAAACAAACTTCAGAAAAAAGCAGGGATGTTCCTTCCTAAATAATTTTTTTTTCTCTGCTCTATCCTCCAAAGACAATCATTCGCAGGGGATTATGGGTTTTGGATATGGGGAAATTTGTATGACCGATATAACGATATGTCTGAAACAGTATTATATAGATGTTTACAGAACATTTAATAAACCTCTTTAACCCCTTTTTCTGCATCTCTCTTTTTATATTAAGGGTATACAGGCAGGTAGATTTCGACTTAAAATCATTCGTTTAGTAACCATTCTGTCAACTCATAAAATATTTCTATGGTCTTTTTAGACAGAAAGGGAGAGGGGAGTAGTGCAGCAGCTTGGAAACTGAAAGTGCATTCCATCAATGTTTTGAAAGATAGTAACTAGGTGACCGAAATTTCTGCCGCACAAAATTCTAATTGGAGAATATGATTGATGACTCTTGGCTATGGATGTGTCCCATTGGAGAATATGAATTATGATACACCCAGTGGGCGGAGGGAAAACCAGGGTCAAGGGTGACCATGAATGACGTGTCTCAGAGTCAACTACACCCAGGCAGTGCCGGACATGTTAACTCCCAATAAATCCTTTTGAAGTTTTGGAAGTTTGGCTCGAGACATGATTTAATTGAGGGAACTACCAGAATCCTGACACATTTGATGTGTTACGACAGCACCGAAAATAGTAATTTATGTCTGCTTTTCACACTTAACGACAGTTGCAGAATTCCCATGGTCAAGGGCTCAAAATTCGGAACCTTGGCGACTGACTCGTATTTATGATAGACTATCCTGGGGGTCACATGTGGCTAAGTTAAAAACGGCAGCGATTTATTTAAGAACTGGCAAGCAAGGTCGTAAAATAAGGGGAAAACTCACTTGTAACAACTCTTGCTTAGCGATGGAGATTTTGGGTTCAATTGTGTAGTTAAGTCAAGGATTACCTGTATATTCAACCAATCCATCCAGTTCCTAACTCAAAATCCCTCCTTTTTCCAGACTATTCAATTACATATTTGATGAGTAAATTTCCAAAGAGGATCCTTAGATAGATTTTGTGTACAGCTGGACAAAATAAAGAAAACCTCAAGAAACTATTGGGAGTTGTTTCACACAAACGTAAAGTCCAAACCCTGCAATTGATTGAAGCTCTTTATTACTTCTGTTGACATCTTCTTAACAACAACATGGGAAGGTAAATTACAGCACTTGGGGCTCTTTGAGGTAGATCATTAAACACAGACAAGCTCAACGGAAGTTAAAAGTATTTACAGAAATGAACAAAGCTATAGACCTGGGCCACCATCCCTTAACTTCTCCCTTATTCTCCAAAGCATATGAAGGCAAGAAAAGAAGCAATGGGTGGAAACTAATCAAGGAGAGAAGCAACTTAGAACTAAGGAGAAATTTCCTGAGAGTTAGAACAATTAATCAGTGGAACAACTTGCCTCCAGAAGTTGTAAATGCTCCAACGCTGGAGGCATTTAAGAAGAGATGGGACAACCTCTTGGTTAAAGAGAAACCTAAGAAAGAAGCCTGCTTCCATATTTCTTCTTCTAGCTGATGTGTGGATTGTGAAGTCAGTCTTAAGAGCTAGCCACTTCCCAACAACTGCATAAACCGTATTTGACTTGGTCAACACCCAGTCTGTGTAATTGCTGATTTAGGCAGATTGAAATCTACTGGGTTTAAGTGACAAAAGACAAGAGGAACAGCGAAAGGCAGAAAGAAAGAAAAAGGAAAGGGAAGGAAGGAAGGAAGGAGAAAAAGGCAAGGAAGGAAGGGAAAGGAAAAGAAGGAAAAGAAAAAAAAGGCAAAAGGAAGAAAAGGAAGGGAAGGAAAGAAAAGGAAAAGGAAGGAAGAGGAAGATGGAAGGAAGAAAAAGAAGAGGGAAAGAAGAAGAAAAGGAGAGGAAGGGAAGGAAAGAAAGAAAGAAAAAAGAAAGAAAAAAAAGGAAAAAGTTGAGAAGAACATATTACACCCTGGTGCACAGCCGGGTGGATATATCTGAAAAAAATCAGTCTGTTGTTATTTGTTATGTATGTCAGAGTGCATGTTTTAGTCACTGTGATTTACTTAGCAGAGAAATACAAAATAAATTTTAAAAAGATTGTTCAGCCAGGAATTTCCTGCAAACAAGCCACTGGTTTGGAGCACACATGGAGCAATATCATATTACATATAGATATCCTATTTGCTCACCCACTCCAAGAATAGAAAAGAGAAAGAGGAAACAGGAAGCGCAAACTAAAAACTTTGTTCAAGGACATCAGAAAAATAGGAAAGGAAGAGGAACCAAGAACAAAAAAATGGTCATCAAAGTTGCATATTTGCAATGCATTTTGCACCCAAACACACTTCTTTTTTTTTTCTTATTCTGATTAACGGGTCTGGAAGGTACCAATAGAAGAGAATATTGTAGCTCAGGGCTGAACGGCAGGGTGCTTGGTGGTCTCTGAGCTTGGTGGTTTTCTTGCAGACATTACCCAACTAGTCTCATAAGTGCTTTTTTCAAAAGGCAACGGGACTTTTTTTTCCCTTGAAATCATTTCACCCCTCATCCAAGAAGCTTCTTCAGTTCTGACTTCAGTTCTGACTCTCAATCAGAACTGAAGAAGCTTCCTGGATCAGAAGCGAAATGTCTTCAAGGAAAAAAGAAAGTCCAGATGCCTTTTGAAAAAGCACCTTTGGCACAACCAGATCCTGGATGACTTAAGAACCTCCATAGACAATTACCCAACTAGGTACTATATCAAGGCTAGAAGGATTTGCTCTTATATTTTTATATACTAGTGGCTGACATGGCAAAATAAGAGCAAACCCAACTCTCTTCTAGCACTGATGATGTTACCTAGTTGGCTAATGAAATGTCTTCAAGTCTTCTCCTCCTCCTCCTCCTCCTCCTCCTCCTCTCCCTTCTAGCACTGATGACATTACCTAGTTGGGTAATGCAACATCTGCAAGAAAACCACAAAACTCAGAGAGCACCAAGGACCTTACAGGTCTGGAAGGATTTCGAGCCCTGCCTTCAGAGACAACAAAAGCTACCCATTCTTTGTCACAAGCATATCCCTTTTTCAACAATGATGGCTATGTCCACAAGGCATGCTTTCCCTGGTCAGTTACAAACCTAGCAGTTTCATTCATCCCTCATTCCAATCTTAATGGTTTTTAATCCTAACTTTAGTTTAGCAGTGTTGGAGAAACCCAATCTGTTTAGCTGATTTGCAAGTCTGTGGAGCCATATAAACTTTGGAAGTAGGTCAACCCAATAAGGTAAAGAAGCTTGCTAGTGAACCCACCCAGGTTATCTCTTTTTCACAGGCAGCTGTCAATTATTCCACTGTCCTTTCATGTCACGGTTTTGCTATGTATTAATTCAGCAGCAAATCTACAGTAGGCCTCTCTTAGGAACGGATAAGGCCATTCGTAGCTAAAAGTCAACGTTCAGATTCCAGTCATGAGCAAGGGAGTTTTCTTCTGTGGTTCTTTTTTTCTGGATAAAACTCTTTTAACAGTCAAAAGCAGGAAAGGGGCAAAAAAGTCAAGATGGCAGGCGTAACTCATGATTGAAGCCTTATCCCTTATATATATATATATATAGGTAAAAGTAAATGTTCCCCTTGCACATCCATGCTAATCATTTCTGGCTCTAGGGGGCGGTGCTCATCTCCGTTGCAAAGCGATAGAGCCAGCGCTGTCCGAAGACGTCTCCATGGTCATGTTGCCGGCAGGACTAAATGCCTTTGAAGGCGTACGGAACGCTGTTACCTTCCCACCAAAGTGGCCCCTATTTTTCTACTTGTATTTTTTTTTACGTGCTTTCGAACTGCTAGGTTGGCAGAAGCTGGGACACGAAACAGGGACTCACTCCATGACGTGGTGCTAGGGATTCAAACCTATATATGTATATATATATATGAATGAATGAATGAATCACAGAGACACCCCTGCTACCAAGCAGAGGTCACAACGGATGAAAAATTGTGTACATACCTGAGGGATGCATTCAAGCTTCAATTCAGGAACAAAACAAAAAAAATACTTCTAACAAAACTCGTTTCTTTAAAAGGATACCTTTTAAAAAAATATATTGCGATCTAAACAAGGAGTTTCCCTTGGAAAAGCTAACACTGATGGGGATGGCAGGTTAGGGCGTTGGGACAAACAATATCTCACATGTCCTGTAATCCTAGATTTGGTTCTAAAATCCCCAAATCGCATCGAAAGGATGTGGAACAGCTGGCTCGATGCATGTCGGCCACAGCCATGGTGTCCACTTTTCATCGATCATCCTTTGCGCCGTGGCCAGCATCCAACCTGGGTACCGGGTCCTATTTTAGACATCGCCAGCAAGTCTTTGTCCCCAAAGGCACCGTCTTCAAGTAAATCACAGGGTCGAGGGCAAGTCCAACTTTGGGAGATGTGGGTGAGGACTTCGGAGGAGACGCTTTCATTCAGAAGGTGGAAATTCGGATCACCCCAAACTCGGTCAGCAGCGCGATGGTTAGAAAGACCACGTAGTAGGCTATGAGGCAATAGCCATACATTGGGCCTAAATGGAAGCACTGGGCAGGCACTGAAAGGAAAGAAATGACCAGGCTGAGGCCCAGGGCACCTGCTAGAATCCATACCAAGAGGTCGTCTGACTCGAGCTGCAAAGAAAGAGAAAAAGAGCAATTAATGAATAGAGTAGAGTAGAATAGGGAATAGAGGAGAGGAGAGTAGGGAATAGAATAGAAGGGAAAGGAAGGCAAGGGAAGGCAACAGCAAGAGGAGAGGTGAGGAGAGGAGAGGAGAAGAGAAAGAAGAGGAAGAGAAGAGAAGAGAAGAGGGAATAGAGTAGTTAATAGAAGAGAAGAGAAAAGATAATAGGGAATAGAATAGAACAGAGTAGAATAGGGAATAGAAGAGAAGAGGGAATAGAGTAGGTAATAGAAGAGAAGAGAAGAAGAAAAAAGACAAGAGAATATGGAGTAGAGTAGAGTAGGGTAGGGTAGGGTAGGGTAGGGTAGGGTAGGGTAGGGTAGGGAAGGGAAGGGAAGAGAAGAGAAGAGAAGAGAAGAGAAGAGAAGAGAAGAGAAGAGAATTCTTTATTGGCCAAGTATGATTGGACACACAAGGAACTTGTCTCTGGTGCATAAGCTCTCACTGTACATAAAAGCTATTAGTGATAAATCATGATTATAGTCATAAAAATACAATCATCATAAATAGTAAAATACAACACTTAGCGATAGTCATGGGATGCTAAATAAGCAATCAAGACACATCCTACTAGGAAACTAAATAAATCAATATAATTTGTAAACATGCAAGCAACAAAGTTATAGTCGTAAGTAGAAAAGGAGATAGGTAATAGGAAAGATGAGAAGAATAGTAATACAGCTTTACTAAATACTTTGGGTGGAGGAAAAGTTTCAAGCTTCATCTAGTTGACCCTTCTGAAGTGTGCGGGAAAGTCTCCAACTCCTCCTCCCTCCTCCTCCTTGCCAACCCCACTCCCTTCTAACACTGATGATGTTACCTAGTATGGTAATGAAACGTCTGCAAGAAAAGCCAAGCTGAGAGAGCACCAAAGACCTCTCATTTCAACCCTCAGCTACATACATTCTCCCCTCTTGGCATATCTCAGTTTGCACTTCCTGCATTAGAGCCAGCTGCCTTCCAGCTGCAGCAAAATATTCCCCATTTTCTATTTAGACAGGAAAAAAATATCACTCATCTGCTTTCCCCTCTCCAGAAGAGCCAAGAGGAAATAAAGGAAGCAAAGAAATAAAATACACCACACGACATATAGATGTTCCGTACCCTCACTACCGATTTGCTGCTCGACATTTGCAAAAGGCAGCCCAGCCCGACGCCGACAAGCATATCTGGGAGAGAGAGTTCAGGAGAAAAGATTCCACAAGTTTTACTGGCTGTGCAACAACCAGTTTTGGAACAGGCTGATTAGGAAAGGGTTGAATGCTGAAACTATTATTAATTGATGATTGGGTTGGGAATTGAATGTATTTATTATTATTGTTGTTGTTACTGCTGTTGCTTTTATTATTGTTGTTGCTGTTGTTATTGTTGTTGTTATTATTATTATTATTTTCAAACAGCTGAAATCTTTCAGCTATGAAATGGATGCAAAGTTATGGTTGGGTTAGAAACAAGATGCAAAATGTTGGGTTTTGGACAAGGAATCTTCCGCCTGCAAAAACAGCATTTGGGGCTGAAAGGTTTGATATTCAAGAGGTCCTTGAGTTAGGACTGTAATTAGAATAGAATAACAAACTTGGAAGGTACCTTGGAGGTCTTATAGTCCAACCCCCTGCCTAGGCAGGAAACCCTACACCACTTCAGACAAATGGCTGCCCAGTCTCTTCTTAAAAACTTCCAGAGTTGGAGCATTTACAACTTCTGGAGGCAAGTTGTTCCACTGGTTGTTTTGAAATTTCTCCTTAGTTCTAAGCTGCTTCTCTCCTTGGTTAGTTTCCATCTGTTGCTTCTTGTCCTACCTTGAGCTGCTTTGGAGAACAGTTTGATTCCCTCTTCTCTGTGACAGCTCCTGAGGTGCTGGAACATTGCTATCATGTCTCCCCTAGTCCTTCTTTTCATCAGACTAGACATACCCAGTTCCTGCAACTGTTCATCATATGTTTTAGCCTCCAGTCCCCTCATCATCCTTGTCACTCTTCTCTGCACTCTTTCCAGAGTCTCAACATCTTTTTCATATCATGACGACCAAAACTGGATGCAGTATTTCCAAGTGTGGCCTTATTACCAAGGCCTTATAAAATGGTCTTAACACTTCAGGTGATCTTGGTTCTATCCTTCTGTTTATGCAGCCCAGAAATGTGTTGGCTTTTTTGGCAGCTGCAGCACACAGCTGGCTCCTACTACTAGGACTCAACCAGGGGTGGGATTCTACCAGTTCACACCTATTCGCTAGAACCGGTTGTTAACATTCTAAGCAGTTCGGAGAACCGCTTGTTAGAGGAAATGACTGGGCTAATCCTGTAAGGAAGGCAGGAAGGAAACATTCTGGTGTTGCTTACAGAAACTGCCTCTCCGTTAACCCTTATTACATTCTTGGCAGGACTAGACTTCCTGTCTCAGGAACTTCTCTGGAGTTTTTTCCCCCTCCTTTGCTAATACTTTACTTGTGTGGAGCGACCATTCAAAGTTACAATGGCACTGAAAAAAGTGACTTATGACCATTTTTCACACTTACGACTGTTGCAGCATCCCCACAGTCACAAGAGGCCAGGCGAGGAGATGCGTGCCTCGATGTGAGTGATATTGAGTTGGCCACGCCCAGCCAATAACATGACCACCAAGCCACGTCCACCCAGTCCCATGGCCACCAAGCCACGCCCACCACCTAAGCCACACCCACAGAACCGGTTGTTAAAAAATATGAATCCCACCCCTGGACTCAACCGACCTCCTTTGCTTGGAATTGAGCCCTGCCAATTCTGCTAAAAGGATACTGAAGATGATACCCCCGAAACAGGCTGAAAAAGCCATCCTGGGATAACCTTGTCGTGCCATTGTTAGGTCGGAGAACATGTCTGTTGGGGGAAAGAAGACAAGCTCAGCATAAGAGCATTCACTTCCTGAATACAGGTTTACTTTAGTTCAGTTTATTGCCCCATTGCACCTCGTACCACGAAATTAAATGCCATGGCTTGTTCGACTTACCCCCGATGCTGTTTCCCCAGGCGAGCAGTGTTAAGCCCAAGACTGTGTTGCTCAGGTGGAAGATGACGCCCAATGTCTGGAGGATGTTCACCACTTCTGTGGCCGCCGCATTGATCCACATGGCACTGACAAAGAACCCCAGGAAGGCAAACAGCTGTGGCCAGAGGGAAGCCAAAGGAGCGCAGGAAGAGAGAGCAATGAATGGACTCGTCCCGTTAAATCGTGGCTTTGTTTTAGCCTGGACTATGGTATAAGCTGGGGTCGGTCTTGCAGCCCAGCAAAGTAATTTCAAACTTTTCCTTTCCTTTCCTTTCCTTCCCTTTCCTTCCCTTCCCTTTTCTTCCCTTCCCTTCCGTTCCCTTCTTCCTTTCCTTTCTTTTCCTTTCCTTCCCTTCCCTTCCCTTCTTCCTTTCCTTTCTTTTCCTTTCCTTCCCTTTCCTCTTTCCTCTTCCCACTTCCCTCCTTCCTTTCCTTTCCTTCTTTTCTCCCTTTCCCTTCCTCTCCTCGTCTCCCCTTTCCTTT